TTCCCCCCCCCCCCCCCCACCTTTCCTTCCCCTGAATCTTTAACATTAAGTAGGCCTATGTAATGAAGTTTTATCGATATTTTGTGAGTTGCCAGGACCATTCTGTATATATATATATATATATATATATATATATATATATATATTCTTCAATCACACATGCACATATGATGATGAAAGCAGGAATTTATCTAGAATTTTAAAAAATAAGCCACAGAGAGCTCAATCCTTCATGATTGTACTATCATCATCTTTTCTACTTGCATACCCTGATAGCATGTCTCGGTCTTTAAGCCCTGCCTTGGCGAACAACCAGATACAGATCTCTATTCCTTCTAAACTTTTTTTAAACGGTTTTGCCAGATTTTGTCTTATAACTTTATCGCTTTGCCGCGGTGACCTCTTTGAGTTTATTTGCTATCCTTATTTTATCTAAATGTGCGAGCATTTATGGTGCACTAATTAAAGTTCTACTTCTCTGTTTGTACATGGTTTTCACTCTCAGATCCACGAAGGGATGGGAAGTGTTGAGTCATCCACTGGGTATTTTATTTCTATTCATTTTCATTTAGCCTAGTTGTGCTGTATCGTAGCGTGTTTGGGGACACTATTTCTCTTTGCATAAATCTGTGATGTGGCGGGAATCCATCTTTTTGGTGTATTTCATAAGGTCATCGACTGATGAACGAGGATAGTCATTCCCTCAGACGCACATTTTCGAAGATATATTCCAATACTCAATTCCTATTGGTTAATCTTAGCCGCACACATTGTGCGTGCGTACTACCCTCAGGTCACGCTGTGTAGTTCTTGCTCCCCCCCCCCCCCCCCCCTCCCCCTAGCTTTAAGCCTCCGCTAACGCGCCTAGCGGCTGCTAGCTAGCTGGCTAACGAACTGGATTTCTTGCACGTGGTTGCACTGTGTGCACGTTTTAATAGATAGAAAGTAGAAGTTAAAAAAAATCGATTGCATTTAGGGACAGTTGAAGCAGCCGCTTGCTTAGTACCGATATTACTGCTGTATTAAATGAAATGGTTTGGTGAATTTGCAGAAAAAAGAGATTGCTAACAATCAGAAAATGGAGGTATTGCGTTATTTTCGATAAATGTTCGATCTGCCTATCTCATAATGCATGCCTTGGCTTTGTATTGTAAAGTCGAATGCTTCCTTTAAAAGTTGGCGTGTCAAATTGGTTAGTGGAATGATATTTAACATAATTGAGTAAAGTGGGTTATCAAAGCGAAAATTATCTCTTGAGTGGCCCAATTAACTATTTGCGCCATGTTGCCCTTAAAATTCTTATCACTGGAGTTATTTGAGGACATTCAGTTTGATTCAGGTGAGGAAATTTTGCATGATTTTCGAATCCTATGCAGTTTAGAATCTCTTAAGCATAAATAAAGATAAACGCTATCTCTCAACTTGTGTAATCTCTTCGTATCGAATGATTTTGTCCATGGGGCGATTTGATAATATCGCCTTCTCCAATACACAATGGAAAATGCTACACTTCAGTTTAATATTTTGGCAGGCATTTTATTTTTCCACATTTCATGCTGGTAATGGTTAATCATCAAGTATGCATGCACTGACTAATAGGAAAATTTTCATATGACCTCAAAGAAAATATCTCAATAGCTGCTTAACTCAAATTTATCCTTTTAGTTAAGTGGTAGTGCCTTGTATGAACCATTTTATGAGGTCAATAATTTGTGTTTTTATGAATGCAATACAGCCACAAACTAAGGACAGACTGATTTGAAATCAACGCAGTCTGTTAAACTGTTAGCATGGAAAAAAATGATTTTTTTAATGGACCAACATAGTTTCATTCAATCTATTATAGGATCAAAAATACGTAAATCTTTTCTTATCATGAGGCCTTCTTTTAAAGCGCTCCAATTACGCTCTATACATAACTCCAACTTTGTGGGTTTTGTCTAAATGGACTCAAGTCCATTTGACCCCAAGACGTCTGCTCATAATAACTTTTACACGTGTGCCTTTCTTATTTGATTTAGCTCCACCTGCCGCTTTTATGCCAAGTACAAATTAATTCTAATAAAAATAATTTGATAAATGTTAATAAGGACTTCAGAATCTCACTAACCACAAACCTTCCCTACAAGCTAGCTAATTTTTTCTATCAAGCGCATTCTGCCAGGTGATTGGTTATTTTGTATTCGCGACGGTGTAGGGGTAGTGACAGGCGCGAATTGTTCTTTGCGTTGATTGGTTGACGATACGCGTTTTTAGCGGTGTAATCAAACCATAGTTGGGAGGAGAGAGGCTGTGTATTAGTCTTAACCACTAGTTTCTGCCTAATTTTATTTATGATTATTATTAGAGAAAGATCTCGTTTCTTACTAAAGCACGTGATTCAACAACATGCTTGCACAAGCTTCTTGCCAGTTTTTATCAAGAATACACGATTGGCTGTCCTATAACAAGTTTGTTGAAGCAAATCCTTGACTTCCGAATGAACATGCATTCTCTCGCCATGTCATTAGAAAGCGAAAGATGAGCCTTCTACTATTTCATTAAATTAATTTTGTGGCCTATGCAATTGTAGAATGCTCAATTCCACATCTGCCCATTTATTGAGTCATTAAAATGGCTTGAGGTCATCGAAATTAGTTCATATATTAGAGGAGATAGCAGGCCTCATAAAATCAGGACACGATTATATTCCACGACCCCCCAACGATTTCACTTATCCTTAACTAACAATAAGGCAAATCAGTTGCTTGAATTCTGCTTTCGTCTAAATACAGAGATTAGAGAAGCCATGTACTCCCCCCCCCCCACTATCAGTGTTTCCAGAAGTTGGGTTGATAATTATGAAAGCATTCTACTCTTTCTGCAGTGTACTCACTTCAAAGGAGCGGTCTGAGGTGTTTGGAACTTTTTTTCACAAAGCTTTCGGCAAAGAGATTCTCTCTGTGAAACATATTTCACTTTCATTCTCAGTTGACTTTCCAATTTTGGGTTTCTGTTTTGATCCACCTTTTGGCCTTCTCATTAGCAGTAATGTTTTATTTTGGGAATACATAATGGTGCAAAATGGTGCCCAGGGAACAGAATAAGTCTTTTTATTCGTTTTTTTAATTATTATTTAATTTATCCATAATTCTCCATGCTAGTTGCAGAATATTCGTGGGAGTGGAGGGTCATTTTTGTTCTGTTTTTTTCTTCGCTTTTCTTTGATCGCAGTTCTGCCCATAAGGGGATTCGCATTTTACAGTCAATTCGATTCTTATTAGGTCTAATTAAATTGAAGGATCTTAGTGAAGATACGATTTGAACAAGGGGTTTACGGCTTTCTATGGAACAGATTTTGACCACAGAGTGTTTATGAGCTTTATATGGTAAGCCTTCAAGAAGACATATACTTGTGTACCTCTGTAGTTTCTCAAATTGTACGTGTTTCGGCTTCTAACTCCTTCTATTAAGAAATAAGCCTTGTCAGAGGTGAGAGGGGCTTTCTATGAGCTCGGTCGAGTGTTCAGGATTTAACATTCAAATTTTCGGTATTTTATGACTTAATGTTTGTGGGGGGGGGGGGGGGGAGAATGTCGGTATCTTTGTGAAATCCCAGACAGAAAGAGGTTTTGCTTTGATGTTTATTCAGTGGTTTATACCATGCATATTTTCTCTGTGCGCCTAGTGCTATTAAGATGTAAACAACTGCTCCGGTTTGAACATGTTCGCGTTAGCGTTCACGCACGCTCTACGATGACCCCAAAACGCCAACGTGCTTGTGCCTCTTTCTATCTCTCAACACACAACGAACCAATCAAAGCCCTGCGTATTAGGCCTATGCTAATACTAATTTTCATGCCAATTTATTCATTTTTTTGATCAATACTGGTAAAAAAATGCACGATGATTCCATTTCTTCAGTTCAGCCTTACCAGCAGTTGAATTGATGGGTTTGAGAGAAGGAAGCTTGGAGCTGATCTAATATGAATCTCGTATCCGATCACTTCTGTTATCGATCAGAATTTACTAGAGCGTCTTTGACTTTCCAAATCATTGGATTTGCCTCGATGAGTACTAATTCTACGTATTCTGGCTTGTCTACCATGGAAACTGATAAGGATTTTTTTAATAATAGTCCAATCTCCTAGTTAAATAAGTGTGTTTGAGGGCAAAGAATTTCTTTCTTGTAGTTACTTAACTATGGTTTGTAAATTTGCTTACTGCCATTTCAGGCTATTTCCGCGTAGTTTCAAAGTGAGGCTTCAAAAATAAACAGATATCCGAAATTACTGTAAGGCATCTAAAAATTAGGTATTTGAATTTGGTAGTGTTTACTGTATTTGAGGAGTAAGTCGGTATACGATCACTATTTACATTAAAAGAAAAGTCGCGTGCTTCGCTAGTCTTTTACGAATTCCCATGATCTTGGGTTTCACAACTTGAAAGGCGACTCGATTACCTGTTTAAATTACGTGTGAGCCTTCCGTACATACAAGAAGGCCATGATCGCTTGAAAGTGTCCAGTCTTCTGCTGAAAGAGGGCTCTGTTGGGTAGGCTAACCAGGAGACGTTTCAGTTCCTATCAGAGGTGATAGAGTGGTATGCATGTCTCAATGACACCCATTAACCTGATTTGCCCTTGTACTTGAAGATGAGTAGATTTTCAGGATTGTCGTGTTGTTTGGCTCATGTACTATCAAGAGTTTGAATTTCAAATGTAATTGGCTGTGTTTCATTTGATTCAAGCATTCTGTCAGCCAGTACTTATTGACGTCTGTGTCTGTTCGAATTAAATAATTCTGAATTTAATAAGCCTTATCCACGTCCAAATTGAAAATTGGAAAGTTAGAGTCTTCAAAGACTGACTAATAGATTTTTTAGACAAAGAGGCTTTAGAAGAACACATTTGTTTGACCCTCGATTCCTAGAAGATCTACTGCATTTCAATAATTGAAAGTCTACTACCTAAGCAAATTTTATCCTACTTAGCGTGTAGTATCCTTTAATGTGGGTTTTGGCTTGAAAGGTGCAATGAAAGGTCGCTGTCTTGACGGTCGACAATTTTACCATCTTTGTAGATGATGAAAAGTGAAGGCTTTCAATCTCAACACTTGGAAAGGAATCGTCTCTACATGCATGAAAAATTGAGCGAACTTCTGGGAGTTCATATACAGAGTGTTGTCGAGTTCGCGAAGAATTTGCCTCACTTCAGCTCTCTCTCCCAACCCGACCAACTTGCTCTACTCAAGGGGTCCTTTCCTGAAGTGTGGATTGTGCAATCTGCTCGATTCATCGCCTTCAGCGATTTCAAAATGACCATGTATAATGGGGCCACTATTAAAAGAGAGGAATTGGAGTTTGTATATGGGGTAAGTTGATAATATATTTATTTTTCCCCTATAACGCAATACTTAGTCTAACCTATTTACTTGTATTATTTAAGCGCTAAATTTGTGAACTTAATGGTGTATATCTGAAATACAATTTATTAACTTTAAACTCCCATATCAGACCATAACAGTAAGTTAAAAATTAATACAATTGCTGCAAAATGCCCTATTTCTCGTAATCAGTTCATAAGAGGGTTTTTTAAATAACTATATTACTATTAAAATGCATAAAATCTTATTTCTATTTTCCTAATTGTGACATAAAAAAATCAACTGCATTCAATTTGTTTTTGGAAGTGGAAAATTATTTACCCCTTTTTAACATATTTTTAGCCAGATCCCCCCCTATGAGGGAAATTATGAAAGCGAATATTTGAGCATTTATTTATTTATGTCAAATGGCAGGCGTTTTGATGGTTATCATGAGCCCTTTAGTTGACTTCGGGCTTCACAGAGGGGGTGGAACACCAAAGTGAAAGTAAGTCGAGAGGGGGTGGAGAGGGAACAGAAGAGTGTTTCAAAGACGAAGGTAGAAAAGAGGTGAGGTGAGTACTGTAAAATTAGTCGAATATGACATACAGTGGGATCATGGCAGTTTGAAGTCAGAAGTCAACTGCCGATTAATAGACTTTTTTGCCGTATGAGTATACGTTGCCCAGGGTGCCCCAAGTGGAGGTAAGCCTATCGCGCACCCCATATTTGAGCATAGACAAAGAGAAAGTGATGAAAA